TCTGAAGAGTAACTTATGTTAATATAGTTAGACATTTTAAGAAGCAAAATACTTGGCAAAAAAAAAAAAAAGCTCAAGTCTAAACCTTAAAACCACAAGTTCATGAACCTTCCAGAGTCTCCCAGTCAGGTGAATACTCTGTTTAGACTGATATGTATGGTTTCTTACGAAGCCCATGTTTAGAGGCATGTGCTATAGCATCTAAAGAAGCCTCCACTCCTAAGCAGTCGCTGGACACCATGCATTTGCGGAGTCGAACTGCTAATCATGGGTGTATTTAAGGTGTTTACTGCTGCACACTGTCACGTGGGATTGTAACGTGTTTTGTATAAGCTCTGCTGTTTCTCCTGGCCAGCTCTTGGTCATACTCAAGATCAGCTTTTTACTTTAAATCACATTTGTATTTTACTGCCATAAAACTAATGTTTCATTATGATCATTTCTGCTAAACATCTGAAAGGCACACTGCATTTAATCAGAAGAATTCACGTCTTTCACCAAAGACATGAGCCATTGCTCCGTTCCATCGTGAAGCCCAGCTCTGCTCCTGAGAGTGACCTGCTCCCATGCCAACTCCAAAGCATCACCACGTGCAGTTTCCACAGGTACAAGCAACGCATAGGTCGACCCTCCATCCCCAGGGCTGTGCCAGCCTTGCGCGGACATCAGTCAGCGCCAAGACCGTGAACGCCTCACCCTCATGCTACTTCCACTTCTTCACTGATGAGACAAATGGGACGAAAAGACTCCACTCCTTCTCCTCATAGATTCTGAGTGCCTCTGGGGAGGGCACACACAGGTAGGCAGCCACTGGTCGTCCCCTAAAACCGCTTTCAGAGAAAGAGGATCACCTCATGGGCTACTATGTACTTTTAAATTAAGAAATCTTAAAAAATAGAAGTGTGTATGAATTACTACATACACAGAAAGTAATGTGTAAGTTTAACAAGTCTGTCAAAATATCTCTACAAGTATCTTTAGAGTATTAACTGAACATGTCGGCTGCAGCAAAAACAGCTCATGGGTACAATGACCTTCCTAGTAGGCATGCTTTCAATGTTCTAATCTATAGAACAGTCTCATATTTTATCATGATAACCAATACATTAGAAAAGAAGCTACTTTCTTTTCACAAGCTACTTTAAAGTAATTTTAAAACTTCTCAGCATTTTTCACATAATCTAATTGCTATAGCTAACAGCTCCGTGATGTCAGCCTCTTAACTGATCAGCTTTCCAAAGAAACAGCAAGGGAAACAAAAAGGTTCTTTGCACATGACATTCTCCTCACAGAAATGTAACAGTTCTAGACAATAAGCACAGCCATTGTTTCCTAAAGAGAGGATATGTAAACCTGTATCTTCAGAAGAAAGGTGGCACCGCTGCCACATTCTGTTCTGCAAACAGAACACCGCATGTATTTACGCACATGTAGAAACACGTAAGTAAAACAGATGAAGAAGCTCAAGTTTAGAGAAACAAAAGGAGAAGTAAAAGGTTTTCAGGTGCATGTCCAGATTTGTGCAATTTCTCCACGAAGCAAAGCAACTCTTAATTTAAAAAGAATAGTCCATTTTTTACTTTAAAGAGCTGAGTGCTTATGAGTAAAAGCACTCTGCTGATATCTGTGAATATCATTATATAATACGAACACACAATGATACATTTTCATCCCTTATGGACATACAATGCTAGATAGTAACTATCAATCACTGTTAACTTGCTGTAAATGCTACTCAAGGGCCTCCGCTTTCCTAAAAGCAAACCTGGAGCATAAGCCACCTGCATCTCTGAAGAGTGAGCAGGGGGCTGGCCGGGCAGACAGGCCGCCTCTGATCACGGGTGTCTCCACCAGATCAGGGGCTTTGAACGGCCACTTCTCACCAGCATCTCCGAAGAGCGAGCTGGGGGCTGGCTGGGCAAACAGGCCGCCCCTGGTCACAGGTGTCTCCACCAGATCGGGGACTCTGAGCGGTCACTTCTGGGCCAATCAGAACCACCCCAACCACCTTCAGAGCTACTGTGAGCTCACCACATGATGAAGTAAGCATCCTTCCAGAGAACCACCAGAACTGCAAGGGAGCAAAGACATGCAGTGCAGGTGAAGCCAGCGGCCACGTGCCCGGCAGGACCAGCTGGGACCAGCCCCGACGTCAGGTCGCCTGGGGGCCTCTCGGTGCCCAGCTGACAACATGCTGCAGGAATCCTGCTCCAGGTGAGTTAACCACTGACTCACACGACACTCATGTTTGTTGAAAGCCTTTCTATAAAACTACCTTGCTGCCTTGGGAGAAGCCTGTATTATACACAGTTGAATGTTTCTTACTTTTGAGGCTTCAGCTGTTCCCGGGGGGTGGAAAGTGGGGGAACAGCAGATGTTTTCTTAAAGGGTCATAGAGTCAACTCTCAGGGCTTTGCAGGCCCCAGGCCTCCACTGTGGATACAGCCACTGATAATGTGTGATTCCTGGGCATGGCAGGGCTCCCATGATCCTTCACTTACAAACCCAAGCAGGTGGGCAGGATGGGGCGCACCAGCCAGAGCTGACCAACCTCTGGTCCAGAATATCTCTATACGAAAAATACCTCTTTCTTACTTCTTAAAAGTCCAAGATTCTCGTGGAATGTTATGCAAGCAGTCAAAAAGAGCCTTGTCAATTAGCTTCTGTTAGAGAAAAAGCAGAAAGTAGCCTTCGCTTCGGCTCTACTTAATAGGGCCTTTGTGATGCTGTACCTTTGCTGACACTGAGATTTACCACTGCATCAGCGAAACAAAAGTGGCCCAGAGATGACAGGGTGGAAGGACTGAGGGACAGACACATGCTCAGGCTGCTTAAGAAAATAAACTCGAAGCACTAGAGTATCGCAGGCATACGAACGACAGGCAATTAAAGAGGAACTCTGTGTGTTTACTAAGGTATACCAGAGAGGATCTTCTAAATCCTTTCCTACCAACAACTATGCACAAAATAAATAAGCTAGAAGGACGTACTGTACAGCGCAGGGAAGAGAACCAAGGTTTTACAGTAACTGCAAATGGAGAACAGCCTTGAAACGCACACACACAGATTCTTTTCCCACGTGAATTACCACTGAACGAGTGAGTGTGCCACACAGCAGGTCCCTCTTGCTACTCCACTCTGTGTGTAGTGGGGCATATGTGATCTTCCTAAATTCATGATTCATTCCCCCCCCAGCCTTTCTCCGCTGGTAACCACAGTTTGTTTTCTATGTCTGTAAGTCTGTTGCTGTTCTGTAAATAAGTTCACTTGTAACATTTAAAGATTCTGCATCTAAGTGACATCATATGGAGTTTGTCTCTGACTCACTTCACTCTGGGATCATCTCTAGGCCCATCCGTGTTGCTGCAAATGGCATGATTTTGTTCCTTCTTACAGCGGAGTAATATTCCATTGCATGTATCTACCACATCGTCTCTATCCATGCTTTCTGTGTGTGTACACATACACATATATATATATATTCAGTTACATTATATATAAATCACTTAATTGTACACCTGAAACCAATACAACATTATGAATCAACCATACCTTAATAAAAAAATAAATACATTTAAAAAAATAAACATTCCTTTTAAAAATAAAATTTTTTAAACAGTCACTAACATCCATGAAGACAAACAGTTCTCATTGGGAGGCATGTACATAGAGGACTGAGGTGGGATTTATATTTAAATGTAAAGCTACTTATTCTACAACTAAGAATGTTTTTCCCTATCCTAACCTAACCCCCAACAATTGAGTTTTCTTTTTTTGCCAGTGGAAAAGTTGAGGGGGGAAGCACAGAAGACAAGACGCATTGACATGTTTGTGACTGGGAGGCTGAACGGTCAGTCCCGAGTACCCCAACCCGTTCCAGAGGCGGGGACGGCCGGGCGCCCCCTCTCCCGGCTACTCAGGATGCCCCACACCGCAGCGCTGAGCCTGTTCACTGGCTTTCCTTTTAGCATCAGCGGCGGCAGCGTGGGAATTTTTAACTTAAGCAATTATAAAATTAAAATGTATTGCCACTAAACATAGCAGTATAAATGTCACTTTAATCTTTCCTCATGACTTGCTGGTTTAATTACATGGCTACACAGTCACATAAAATTTCATTGACCAAGTTATAAGCATTACTAATTTTTGGACATGAAACAACTTACAACGCTGGATTTCTCATTCATTTGCAAGCTAAAAGCCTAAATGATAGTGAAATTTAATAAAACTTCTTAGAACTAGATTTAAACAGATGACTTTCACTTTGTAGGTGTACATGTTTTGTTAAAGATTTCTCATGCTTTAGTAAACCAGAAATAATGAAAGGAGTACACATTTTCTTATTTAAAACCTAATATTTGGAAGAGGAGACTTGGCATGTTGCTCACAGTCTCAAAGACAACCACAAAAAGGCAACAAGCCAATGCAAACAAATATGATTTTCTGAAAAAGAAAATAAAGATTCTAAAGACAAGCAGTGATTTAAATGTACCTAAGACACACTCCAGAAGCATAGAAATGCCTGGGTGCTTGTTAAATGGAATGTAAGGCAGGAACATTGAGTGCACAACTGATTCAAAGTGAGAAAGGGGCAACCACAGGTGGAGGCTTCAGAGCGACAGTGACGCGGGGAAGAAGCCCCGGTTCCCGCCCGGCCCCTCGTGTTCCAAGGCCACCGCCCGACTCTCGGGTTCACACATGCGTGGTGAGCCCTTCCAATGGAAATGGTAAACCCGGGACACTGCTCAGCTCCATGCTGAACAAAACCCTTAACAAAGCTAATAGGTAATTAAAGCTAGATTTGCATGTCTTCATCTACCGCTTCTGACACTCGCATCATTAAAAACAGATGTGAAACGGCCCCAGTCTGCCCGGCACATGTGTAGAGTCCATGCACGCATGTGCTTACACATGCACACACGCACGCACACACACACCACACACCACACACGTCCCTGAGTGGAGCCAGGCGCTCTCCTCCCATCGGCACCTGTACTGACCTCTCCGGGGGCTCTCGTGGTTGAAGAGGATGCCGTTCACTGCAAACAGGCTGTACGCCTCCCGGAAATTCACCACAATCCAGTAGGCATAGAGCTTCGCTGCCCCTGTGGGAATAAATTTTTAAAAGCAAATCAAAGAGTGTCTCACTGTAAAACAGATTTTCATTCAAACATGTAACAACTTGCAAAATTTACAGTTCACAATGTATCAAGATAGGGAGGAAATGAATCAAAAGCCAAGGACAAAATAAAGGTTCCTCTGCCAGTTATCACGAAACGAGGAAGCACTCAGGAGCTTCTCCTTCTGTAACAGCCGCGGCCCCTTCCTTCACAAGCTAATTCACGTGCAGTGTGTGCCGCACAGCAGACTGACCTTTCCTGGGCCTCATCCCCTTTTCCTTTGTTTCAAGGAATTAGTAACTGAAAAACGTGGATCTTGGTATTCTAGCTGCTTCAAAGTTTATCACTAAAGTCTTCTGTGAATATTCTTTTCATAAATATATTAGACACAATAGATTTGTCTATCTGTTTTAGGGTTTCCCTGGTGGCTCAGATAGCAAAGAATTCACCTGCAATGCAGGAGATCCAGATTCGATCCCTGGGTCAGGAAGACCCCCTGGAGAAGGGAAAGGTGACCCACTCCAGCATTCTTGCCTGGAGAATCCCATGGACAGAGGAGCCTGGCAGGCTACAGTCCACGGGGTCACAAAGAGTCAGACACAACTCAGCGACTAACACTTCCACTTAAGGGTTTGAGCTCCAGGAGAATTTAAACTGGGAAATGGAAGAAACACCAGAGATATCATTTTAGCATGACCCACACAGTCCAGTACAAAGAATCTTGCGGGAAGCAACTTCCGTCTCAGCGCTTTGTCTGGAGGGAACAGTGAGACAGCGATTCCAGCCCAGAGGCAACGGCGGCAGGACCCTGCCTGCGCATGGCGTCTGCCTGGCGAGTCACGCCCCTTGGTCCGTCTGCCCAGCCACCGCCCACCATGTGACACCAGCCCCCGGGCAGGACTAGGCCGCACGTTCTCACCATAAGGAGAGCGCGGGTAGAAAGGCGTGGTCTCCTTCTGAGGTATCTCCTGCACCTTCCCGTAGAGCTCGCTCGTCGAGGCTTGGTAGAACCGCACCGAGTTGATAAGGCCACAGGTCTTCACCGCGTCCAGGAGACGCAAGGTGCCCACACCATCCACATCAGCCGTGTACTCCGCCAGGTCAAACGAGATCTGGAAACAGTGGGTGCCGACGCAGCCACATTAGTGCAGACCCGAAGCAAAGACCCCCAGAGGTGACAGGCTGCAGCTGCTATTCGGAAGGGTTCCGTTTGTGGGAAGATGTTATTTTCCAGCAGCAGAGTAAGAGCATGGATGTCATCTGTTTCTAACGTCTTGTGGATGGAAAAATACCTTAAGAAAGCGGTATCAATCCCCTGTGGTGACACGGGGAACGCCTGGACCACACTCACCACCTCCTAACTCCAGGCTCAGGTCCCTGGGGCTGGGCTCCTCAGAACGCGAGCCTCTGCCCCGCAGGACAGCTGGACACCGGGCGTCCTGAAAGGGTTCAGCGGGCCAAGCTCCGGGTGGGAGGTGGCGAGGAACACACAATTCCAATGAGCCCCATTTAATTTTTATGCACAGATAAGTTTGGGAACATGGGAAAGAACTGTTTTAGCTTCTATTTTTAATTAAGCTACAAGCATGACTTTTTAGTACCTTCTATACATAATAATATAGGCTTCCCAGGTGGCTCAGTGGTAAAAGAACCCTCTTGCCAATGCAAGAGATGTGCGTTCAATCCCTGGGTTGGGAAGGTCCTCTGGAGAAGGAAACGGCAGGCCTCTCCAGTATTCTTGCCTGGAGGATTCCATGGACAGAGGAGCCTGGAGGGCTACAGTCCGTGGGGTTGCAAAGAGTCAGTCATGGTTTAACAACTAAACAACAGCCATATATCTTTAATTATGAGACACGCTGACTGCAGCGCGATGCTGACGAGTGTGGAGCTGACGGGCTTCGGAGGAAAGGGTGTTACGGATCACTCAGCACTCTGCGGCTCTCACATGCTTTATTTAAAAATGAACGTGACCGACATGCTATTTTCTTCAATTAACTGTAAATACAATAAATAAATTAACCTAATATTAAAATCTCCTAAACTAATAAAAACCATTGTCTGCAAATCGCTGTCCCGGTGTGTGTACTCACAGGCACGCACACAGTCAGCCTCATGCTGCACGCGATGTGCCCTGTCCTGGGGGCCTGCCCTGCCCTCTTCTCCGCCCACAAAGCCCAGAGGCCCTCCGCTCCATTCACCCAGCCTTCACTCACTGTCCAGCTTCTCCATTAAAATGAGGCTCCTGAGGGCAGAGTTTCCTTGTGTTAAGCAGGAGCCCTGGGCCTGAAACATGGCTTGTGCCAGTGTTTGGTGGATGAATGAAGACAGCCACTGAGATTTAAATGTCGAACACAGAAATAGCAAATAAGACTACAAAGACTACAAGAAAACATGGGCTATCAGAAGACGGAAGAAGGTTGATAACCTAATCTTACTGAAACAGGTACAATTTTAAAGAGTCAGATACACGAAACTCTGTCAATTTCAAAACTTCGGCGTGACAGTTACAACAAAGGCTGCACTGTCCCGCTGCACAAAGATGCAGAGCTCAGAGCAGAGGAGCGTCTGGGGCCGCAGGTGGGAAGCAGGTTCAGGAGGAGCAGGTGAGCAAAGGAAGACCCTGCCGCCCCCGACACGCTCACCGCCAGGCACATCAGGACAGCGGCAGGGCCGCCGGGACCCAGGGAGCTTCAAGTCAAAGGAAAATAGGAAACTTAAGTTCAAATATAGAGCAGATTGCTCTGATCAACATTCAAAGATATAAACGCATATCCCAGAGTTATCCTCATTCAGAGAGGGGTAGAAATCAGAGCCTCCCGCCCAGAGCGCTGTGGGGACCCAGATGGAGGCGCCGGAGGCCTGCTCTCACCCTACACGACTTCGCAACACGTGAGCGCGGACTCTGGAAGCGTCCTCACCGGACCAGGCCCAGCTCTCAGCACAGGGCTCACAGCACACAGGGCCAGGAAGGTCGGCGGTCCCACCACTCTCACGCCCCTCCGGGACGGCGTCTCCTCCTGGCATCACCTCTGACCTCAGGGCCCAAGTTGCGCACAGCCTAGTGGCCCAGAGCCAGGACAGGAGCCTTGTTTGTGTGTGTCTGTGTTTCCTGTCTTCCCACCAGTGAGAACCTGAAGGGTGGCAGGGAGTCTGAAGTGACCTGAGCGTACAGTTAATAAGAAAGTGGACTTTACGCGGGAAGCAAACTTGATTTCTGAAATCTCAAGGTAGGAGCCAGCATTTCCTGAGCACAGATGTCACCTCAGACCCTCAGAGGCTGCTGCTGCAGGAGAACTCTGTGTGGGAAGAGGCAGCCGGGCCCCGGGCGCTGCCTCTGCCTCTGGGAGACGCGGGACCACACAGGCAGCCGCCCGCTGCCGCGCCTCCTCGGAGCTGGAATCTGCAAGTGCGATGATTAATCAAGGAGAGCAACAATAAAACAGCCGTCTCCACGGACACGGCGCTCGGTGGGCAGCCACCTCCTCGCAGCTGGGACAAGAGGAGATCAGAGCAGGGTGGCGGGACAGTCCACCCCGAGCAGCAGGGCACCCTGTCCTGAGTGCAGGACATGCAAAGGTGAAGGAGTCCCCCCACCGGCCTCTGGGTGCAGAACAGCGAGGGGAATGAAGGGACCCCAAGGCTGAGGCCACGGGAACTGAGGGGGGTGGGGCTGAGACGGCTACAGGGTCTGGGGACCACGGAGGGTTGGGAGCCAGAAACTCAGAGAAGAGGAGAGGACATGGACAGAGGAGAGAAGGCTCAGGGAGGAGACGCCCACATGAGCCAGCGGAGATGTGGTAGGAGGCCCCCTGATGGGGGGTCAGCATGAGCAAAGACCGGACGGTCACCCTGGCCGTGCCGGGAACCAGGAGGCTCCAGCTCAGGTGGGAAAAGCCGGGGACAGAGGCGGGCCATGCTGGGGGAGGCCACGCTGCAGTCTTGCTCAGTGGGCACTGGGGAGCCAGCGATGGCACCAGAACAGAGGAGGGGCATCGTTTCAACCAGGCTTTGTGCTGTGGACTCACTCCCGGCCTTGGCTCTCTGTGCCTCTAGAACAGAACCTCCTGACACTCACAAGCCCAGTTTTATATGATCTTTTCCTTATTTCACTGCAATTATGTTTTCATTCAAAAATATTTATAATGATAATTTGAAACATCTAACAATCATAAGGTTATCAGTCCGTCAGCGTGTCGCATTCTACCCAGACTAAACAAAGGGGACATCTCTGTGCAAGTCAGCACACCCAACGCAGTTTCCATTGAAAGTGAGAATCGCTCAGTCGTGTCTGACTCTTTGCGACCCCATGGACTACACATCCTTGGAATTCTCCAGGCCAGAATACTGGAGTGGGGAGCCTTTCCCTTTAGGTTTTTAAAAAAAAATTCCAAGTCATCATTCGTGGAGTTTGGACAAGACAACTGCCCCAGGCATCGTGCTCCTGACAACTCCAATCCCACGAGAGCCGTCTGCCCACTGCCCGCATGGGGACCCTGTGTCCCACCCATCTGCTCAGCACACGGCAGGACATGAAATCGTTTGTGGAACAAAGGACAAGTTTCGACTTCTCTCCCGATTCCACTTTTTATCCGTGAAGATGAACAGAAACACTGACTAATCAGAATCTCGGCCCAGTCTCTCAGAACCCACACCCCTCCATGAACAAGCCCCACCCACCCACGTTGGGGCCTGATGCACACAACTTCACGGCACATCGCTGCATCTTCGATTATTCTACGGTCTGAATCACGGCAGACTCCTGACCTCGGTGACTAAGTCCCAAAACCACATAGGTGTACTAAGGCGTTAATGTGACACTAGTTTTGGACAGATAATAAAAAAGTGAATGACCGATGTAGCTCTGAGCCCTCGCTGATAAAGTTCACAGCTTCAGTCTCTGCATTACTCTGATTACACACACACACGAAGGCTCTAACTGCCCTGAAACCCTGGGCCAGGAGGCCTGGGAGTGACTGGAGGGATTATCTGCATCAGGGGGACTCAGCCAAGAGCCTTAAACACTTAAGCAAGGGATTAAACTGTCTGTTGAAGACAGTCCAGAGGCCTCCCACCACCACGCAGGCAGCGGGGACTCAGGGAGCCCTCGGCACAGACCAAGTCCGAGCAGCTCCTAGTGGGGCACAGGAGGGCCGAAACGGTGTCCACTCTTCGCATAAAGCATCCCTCTCTCTTCCAACCTCTGTCATGACAGCTGGAGCGGCCACTACTACATGCTGAAGTAGGAATTCAGCACTTCTCTTTGCATCCAAACAGCTAATTGTTCTTCAGTCCACAGACCATCAGGACAGCAACCACAAAAGTGGGACTGCTGGAAACTGCTGAAAAGCTACAGGGCGTTCAGCTGCAGGAACGTGGGTCCCGTCCTGTGAGGGAAGAGAATTTCATCAAGATGAAGAGGAGCCAGAGCTCCTGGTAGGAAACTAACAGCTCAGGGAGATTTAGCCCCAAGCAAGTGGGGCGTCCAAGTGTCCCAGCTCAAGACAGGCCACAGCAACAGCGCAGCATGTGGGCACACACAGTTTTCTGTCCTTTCTGCCTCCACTTCTCTTGAGGTGCTTTTTCTTCCAAAAGCAGCATGTAAGCATACAGTGTATCAATTTTAGAAGATAAAATACACTAAGCCATTGGGGGAAATGCACAAAACACGTCAGGACACTGAAAACTGGACCGTGGAGGCCGTGCATTTAAGATGCGAGACAGAGAGAGAGAGAGAGAAGGGACAGTAGCCACAGCCTCAGACCCCGAATCCCCACAGATCTCAGCTTCGGTTTGGGGCCGAGAAACAGAAAAGGAGCCATCTCACAGCAAAGGGCAGAGACGCAGAACAGAAAGCAGTGCCCCCCGCCCGCGCGTGGGGCAGCCTTGCAGTCACCGCCCTCCAGGAGCGTCTTCTGGACGCAGAGAGCTCGAGAGAGTCTAGAGGACACAGACCAGCTGTCGCACGGGCAGAGGGCTCGGGAGGGCGCGGCTCCTTCCCATTGTGAGCTCTTAGCAGGAAGCGGGAGCAGTGACTCAGGCTCCGTTAGATAACAGAGGCTATGAATGGAATGATTATAAGCCCACTCGTTAGCTTGAGAAGACCTGAAGGGGC